TTCCCAGCTCCAGGGACCCAAGGGCAAGGATGCAAAGCCTGCTCCTCCAGACTTCAGCTGCTCCAAAAGAAATGAGCAGATGGGAGGAGATGCTGCCACATCCTGCCACACTCAGCATTTCCCTGTCACCTGGGACACTACACCGGGTGGAACTGGGAGCCAAGAGTGCCCCAGCAGGAGGGACAAGCCCTATTCTTGGGAGCAACCAGGAATAGCCACACACCAGAGCACACAGGGGAGACCAGGCTGCAAAACAAGCCATTTCCTTCCTCCAACTCACCTTCCAGCCCTTTTTCTGGACACAGGCTTCTTTAAAAAGCATCTTGCACTCAGTACTTCAGCTGTAGTTTGTACTCAAGTGCTCAGATTTAGCTCGTGTTGCCTCCAAGGGCTGAGCCAGACTACACAAACTCCAGAAAAGCTTCCCAGGCCAATTTGATGTTATTCTGACCCTGAATCTGCCCCGAGGGCTGGCACAGAGCTGAGCAGCAGGTCAGCAATTTACAGCTGCCTCCCTTGCCCAGTCCTGAGCACTGCAATGAAGCAGCCACAACTTGGAAGAGTTTGCCCACGCCTGGTGGGGGGGTTTTTTTTTGTGTCACGCTCTTTGCCACAGGAGGTGGCTCTGATTCACTTTGGTTGGTTTGTTTTGCTGCTTTTTTGTTGTGTTGGTTTGTTGTTTTTTTTCCAATCTGCAGGGAGCAAAAAATATTTCCAACCAATATTTTATAGTCCCAGCATCATCCCCCACCCCGTGAAAAATGAGCTGCCTGCAGAAAATAGCCTTGCTGGGAAAGAGAGAAGCTTTCTCCTGGAAATGCTGATGCTCCAAGAGCTTCATGTGACACATAAAGATATTTCCCACCCATGGGACCCTGGATCCCACTCAGGGGTTCTTGCTGGCATGGTTTTCCCAGGGCAAGGAGAAGCAGCTGAGCCTGGCAAAGCCCAGGAGCTACTACAGGGCAATTTCCAGGAGCTGCCTTTTCTCTTTCCCCGTGACCCATGGAACAGAATCACCCTGGTTGGAAGGGACCTTGAAGATCATGAAGGTCCCAACCATAACCTAAATCCCCCAACCATAACCTAATTTACCCGTTCAGTGCTTCACTCACATCCCTAAGCAGGATATCTCCATTTCTTTTAAACACTCCCAGGGATGGTGACTCCACCACCTCCCAGTGCCACTGTCCAGCCACTCCTAGAGCCAGTTGACCCAGTCAGAGCAGCTCAGGGTCCATCTTTTCTTTTCCCCTGCTTCTTCCTGTGAGCCACACACCAGCTCAGACTTGCTCCCCTCCAGCTTCCAGCCTCACCTCTTAATAACCAAGAGGAGAATAACTAAACTGCCAGACCCCACCCTGCCCCAAGGTGTCAGTGCAACCAGAGAGGGGCTGTGAGTTTCCCAGATCCCTGCTGACAGATGAAGCAGGGAGATCATCATCTTAAGCGTGGCAGTAACTAAAAATGACTCCTGCTCTGCACCAAAAGCCCCAGGCTGTGGAAGCCTGAGCCAGCCCTCAGGTTCCTCCCTGCTCTCCTGATGCTCAGTGACTTTCTGGTCCTGGAGCAGCCAGGTTGGGATGTCACCCTCCTGCTGAGCACAGAGGGGCTGTGTCTGCCTGCCCTGTCACCCTGCCCAGCCCTGGGACACAGGGGGGTTCCCTCTCCCATCAGGGCAGCCCCCAGGGTGGCTGGGCTGACAAGCAGCAGCTCAGTTCCCCAACACCTTCTCCAAGCAAAGACCAGCTGGGCAGCAGGCAGGGAAAACACAGGGAGGGCAGAAGGGGAGATAAGCAGGAACACAGAGTGCAAGGCTGAAATGCTTCCTCTGCACCAGCCCAGGCTCGTGAGGCTCAACTCCCTCCTGCTCTGCACATTTCAGCAGATAAGGGACTGGCCCCTGACAACCTTCCTTCATGAAGCCACCGGGGAGGGCAACAGCCCAGAGAGACCCTGCCCCATCTGTGTGCTGGGTCAGCTGCAGAGGGGAAGGAGGACAAAGTCCTTGTCAGTAAAAAAGGGATCTGAAGCCCTTCAGATCTGACCAGTGGAGCTGAGCTCAGCCCTTTGCCCCAAGTGTCTTCCCCCTAAGAGGAAGGACCCCTGCACAGTCAGATGTTCTTTCCAATAACTGCTCACCCAGCTGGACCAGAGAGCCCTTCACCTGTGCTGGCTGCTGGGGGGACCCCAGGATCCCCAACCCTGCCCTCAGGGAGGGAAAAAGCACAAAGCACAAAGGGGCTGGCTGCCTTTGGGGCAAAGCCTGTCCCTTCCTGCCCCTCTCCTGCAAGTCCAAGTCTCCAGGACTGGGAAATCACACCGTGTCCCCTATTTCTTGCTACAAAACTGGACGAGGGACTGTGGGGTGAAACAGCCAGGTAGTTCAGGCTGCTTGCAGCAAGGCCAGGTCTGTTGGAACAAGTCCACAGAAGGGCCACAGAAAATGACAAGAGGGCTGGAGCAGCTCTCCTACAAAGAAAGAGCTGGGATTGTTCAGCCTGGAGGAGAGAAGGCTGCAGGGAGACCTTAAAAGCACCTTCCAGTGCCTGAAGGGGCTCCAGGAAAGCTGGGGAGGGACTTGGGTGTGTAGCAATAGGATGAGGGGTAATGGTCTTAAACCACAGCAGGGCAGATTTAGACTATGCATTAGGAAGAAGTTCTTTACAATGAGGGTGGTGAAGCACTGGAGCAGGTTATCCAGAGAAATACTCAAGGTCAGGCCCTACCAGGCTGTAAGCAACCTGATCTGGTCCAAAAAGGCCCCTGTGAACTGCAAGTGGGGGCTGGACCAGATGATCTTTAAAGGTCCCTTGCAACCCCCACACAATGTATGATTCTCTCCCTGGGTCTGGCAGGATGCTGGTGAGGGGAGCAAGGCTGAGAGGTCCAGCACCAATGTCCTCCTCTTCCCCAGCACCAGAGCCTGGGGAAGGATCCCAAGGCACAGCCATTCCTCCTGGAGAGAGCTGAGCTCCAGCCACAGCATTTTTTTGCAGGAATCCCCCCCTCCCCTTGCTCACAGGGCTGGAACATCTCAAAGTGCCTTTGCTGAGGCTGCCACACCTGGTGCTACTGATGGGCTGTGGCGTGGAAGAAATTTAATTATGGGAAGAGCTGCCAGCACCTGCAGAGCCCAGAGCTGAGCCCAGTGCTGCAGCACACCAGCCCCAACAGCCACACACTGCTGCTCTTCTCCATCCCACTCCCAGCTCGCAGGACCAGGGCTGGAGCTGCAAACCAAGCCCTTTTAATACCCTCCTCCTCCAGCGAGGGGTGAGCCTCTCTCTGTGGATGCAAACAGCAGCAGAGTGCTGACCTGCAGCTTTTACTCGAGGTGCTGTGCTTGCCTTTTACTGTGCCTGGAGCAGTGGGGAAGTTGGAGGGTTCCCTTCCACCATCCCCCCCATGTCCCCTTTGTCCCTGTCCCATTTCTTCAGCCTCCTCCCCACCCACAGACCCACTTCCCAAAGGACAGAGGTTATGCCAAGCAATCTGTTAAACAGGCCAGAGGACTGGTTGGTAATGAGGATACCACACCTCTGGTACCTCCCTAATTGCAATACCTTGGCTGGGCTCTCAAAATAAGCTCCAAAGAGAAACTGAGATAAGCATAAGCTCATCCCCTTTGCAGGGATGTGACCCAGCACTAATTGGTTTCAGTGCTGGTGACAGATCCATTCTGTGCTCAGTTCCAGGAAAACCATCCCCCCCCAGAGCTGCAAGGCAAGGCCAAGTGACCATACTGGGAGTGCATGGCAGGCACAGCTCCCAGGGACAGGAGGGAATCACCCATTCCAGCCCTTTCTTCCCTTCAGCAGAGTTTCACTCCACGAGAGGCATTTCCAACTACCCCAAACCCCTGCAATTCAACTTTTCTCCTCCTCTCCCCTAAGCAGCACAAGGGGAAAAGACAAGAGGGTGTGTGGGGGGGAAGGCACAGAGCCTGAAACCCACTCCCATCCCCTTTGCTGACCTCCCTCCTTTGCCAGCAGGTAAAACAAGGGGCACCACACCAGGACTCACCTCCTGCTGCCCTCCCTGCCTCTTGGCTCCCACCCCTTTGTGTGCCAGGCAGGAGCCACCCTCCAAGTCCCAGCCCTGGCTTGGGATGGGGTGGGGGGGGAGGAAAAGGGCACAATCAATGACAGCAGCGAGCAGAACAGATGGTGCAGAATAAATCCCCGGGATGTTGGTGCCCTCTGAAGTTGCCGGCGCCCAGGAGTCACAGAGGAGCTGTTGTGCTG